TTGGGGAACCGTGCCCAACTTGCCAACAGTCCTGAAAAGGCTGGGTGTCAAACCTATGGTTTGACAGTGAATTCACACAAGTAACCAACCCCTGATCATTACTGAAGACTACAAACCTGGCAGGAAAACCACCATTGTTGTGATGTTTATGAATACTGCCATGCAGCCTTGCTTTCATGAGTACAGAGATTAAGCATTCAGGAAATTGAAGCAAGTGTGTGCACACACACGGAACAAAAAGTCAAATGGCCCAGTTTTACAAATTGTATTTTATTTTTAAAATAAAAGCAGGGCTAAGGACTTAGGTGTTAATAAAAATTGAATTATTGTCAGGCGTGGTGATGTACACTTTTAATCCCAGCACCTGGGAGGCAGAGGCAGGTGGATCTCTGTGAGTTTGAGGCCAGCCTGGTCTACAAGGTGAGTTCCAGGTCATCTGGGGCTACAGGGAGACCTTGTCTCAAAAAAAACAAAAGCAAAAAAAAAAATTGAGTTACTGAAAAGCATTAAAAAGGAAGGAGGAGAAGAGGAGGAGGAGGAGCTGTTGAAGTTGTTTCAGGTCAAGTAGGCTATGTATCTTAAGTTGGTTGGTCTTCACAAAATTTCTGTGAGGTATGCACTGTTATGATCAGATCATCACTTTACAGATGAGAAACCTGAAGGTCAGAGAGGTTACATGACTTCCCAAGATCACCCAACCACTGAGTTAAAGATTAGGGAAGCCATTATTGGAGGCCAGGGCTACAGAATCCACAGACCACATTTTAAACTGCAGTCCCTACTGTCACTGTCCTTTTGAACCTTTGCCATGCTATTTTGATAAAACCCATGGATCCCTGCATTGTCAGCTTTAACTGATACAATACAATGTCTTTCCCTGCCACCTTGCTTGGCCCAGAATAGCTGTCCATTAACTGTACCCTCCTCCAACCCCTACCTTACTCCATCAACCTGTTCCTCTCTTCGCTTACCCCTCTCTAGGGAACCACTTGTCTCTTTAGTGCCCTCCAGATTGGAAGATGCCTGAGAATCACCTGGGAAAGCTGATTTCAGCAGAGATTTGCAGCCCTGGCCCTAAAGAATCTGATCTAGCAGATTCAAAGGAAGCCCAGGAACCTGCATTTTAAATATGCATTTTATTATTTTTATTAAAGTGGTGTGTGTGTGTGTGTGTGTGTGTGTGTACATGGCATGGCATAAGTGTAGAGGCCAGAGAACAACTTTCAAGAGTCAGTTCTTCTACCCTGTGAGTCCCAGGGAACCAACTGGGACCATCAGGTTTGGCAAACGCATTCACCCACTGGGCTATCTCGCTAGCCCCTAAATCTGCATTTTAATTGTAAGATGTTTGTAAGTCTGAAAAAATTCCCCTCTTTCCTCCCTCCCTTTCTTCTTTCTTCTTCTTCTTTTTTTTTTTTTTTTTTTTTTGAGATAGGTTCTCATTATTTAGCCCAGCCAGCTTCAAAATCGCAATCCTCCTGCCTCAGTGCTGGGATTACAGACCTGTGCCACCATGCCTCCCACATTTGGAATTTCCTCTTAATTTTGTAAGAATTATCATGGATAATATATGAAAGTGGATAGCTATTTCAGGAAAAATATTAAATGCAAGAAAAGCAAACTGCAGGGCCATACATGGTGGCCACACTGTTTATATGTCACACACACACACACACACACACACACACACACACACACACGCATACCACTCATAATAGTGGTTCCCTCAGAGGAAGAGAGAGCGATATTATTAAAAGGAAATCAAGGAAGCCGAGTATGGTGGTGCACGCCTTTAATTCTAGCATCTGGGAGGCAGAGACAGGCAGATCTCTGTGAGATCAAGGTCGGCCGGTTCTACATAGCGAGTTCCTGGACAGCTGGAGCTACTGAGAGACCTTGTCTCAAAAAAACAAAGCAAAAAAACAAAAAAGAGAAAAGGAGGATTTCAATTTTTGTTTCATTTCTTTAATATAAAGATCTGAAGCAAATTCAAGAAAATACTAGCATTTGCTAAATAGGAGTAGCGTATAAACGAGTGTTTCTTATTTTTTGTTTATCTTAAAATTTAACACCCCCCCCAGTGCCACCCCGTGATACATCCTTCCTTCCCAGAGGCAGCCTGCTCTTGTCAGCCTGTGTACTAATAAGCACAGAAATCTCCTTTGTATCCTTAATCTGACTCTCTTCAACCTCACCCAGAACCTGGTCTAATGAATTAAATTCTCTTTCCATTTCTACTCTTCTCAGGCCCTCTCCTCAGATGTCTTCTCTGTGATAAGACATCTCCAGCATCCCCCTTCGGACTCCCTACATCATACTGCACGTCTTGGGAGAGTGGTGCGAACTCTCTCCCTCTCTAGGGAAGAGAATATTTGCTTGTTTTCTACCGTCTTAGGCTCCTTGACCAGGACTGAAAAAGACCGACAAAAGAAAGAGGCAGAAGTTCGACCATGTACACTGTGCATCGCAATGGCAACAGTCTATATTGAGGACCTCAAGTGTGAATATTGAATGTGGGTTTCAAACTAGGCCCTACAGAGCATCTTCAGGAAAGAAAAATCTCATTTTAAAAATAGAGCAGGGAGGGGGTACCCTTCTAAACTTATGCTCTTCTTTTAGGGGAGTATCGAGAGCTTTATCTGCATCTTCCTCCTGTTCTCAGTTCAAAATAATCACTCTGCCAAAGAGACACATTTAAAGGTTATGTGTTTTGCTCTCCTTCCCCTCCAACCATTCACCATCAGCATCACCCTTCCTCTCCTCTTCCTGTTCCTCCACCTTCCCACTCTGGGGGCAGAACACAATGTCCACTCCTTGGTCTTTAGTTCCCTGGTCTTGACTGTCTCTCTATTCTGATGTTTGTGACCATTAAGATGCTCACTGCCTCTTTACTCCTCTGTGGCTTAGGAACCACATTCCACTATCTAAAGGACATCCCTTCTCTGTATCCTTCAAATAGAGCAAGCTCAACCTACCAACTTCAAAGCATTTATCCCTTAGGGATTCTGTATTCTGCTGGACCAGTGCTTCTGAAATTGAATATGAATTTGAGTCACCAGAGGCATCCTGGGAACTAAGGAATCAGGGAAGACTTTTCTGTAGCAGAGGTATCAGAGCTGATGTCTGAGCAATGAGGGGGTGGACAAGCAAAGAGCTAAGGGAAGAAGAGCATCTCGGGTTCATGGAAGAGTGTTTGGGACAGAAGGAACAGCAAGTGCCTAGATGCTGTGGCAGGTCCATACTTGGTGCAACAGAGGTGGACCACAGTGGGAACCCTGACTCCTGTAGGCTAAGGAACATGAACATGTAGGATGGAGAAGCAGCAGAGGCTGTTGGAAGACAGCAAGAACACTGCCAGCAATGGCAGCCACCAATTGTATGTGGGTCACGTGCCAGGTGTTGGAAGAAGGGTTTTATGCCACTTAATCATGTTAATGTTAACTTACCCCAGTAACTCTGGAGTAGGTACAATAAGTTTACTCATTTCACAACTGAAGAACCTGAGGGTCAGAGAAGTGATAGCTTATAGTCACAGAGCTAGAAACTTCAAGAGCTGAGATTCAGATCCAGCTTTGCGGAATGTTGAAGCTCATGCTCTCTAACCTGATATTGATTCAAGAACATTCCTTCCATCAAGCCTGCCACGGCCAAAGAACGAGATGTCTCCTGACACCCTGGAGAGCAAGGTGCTGAGTGATGAGCTAATTTGGAGGTATAACTCAAAGGCCCTTCCTTCTATGAATGAGCTGTCTGAGGGCAGATGCTCTCACCCGTAATCCGTCATCAGGAATACTCACACCATTGTGTCGGACCCCACCTAAATGTTTTTTTTATTGTCTGCCCTTCATCATGAGTAATACCACTTTCCATTTTAAGCTGAGAGCTTCAGGAGATGACCACAGTGTAAGCCAAGATTTAAAGCTAAGCGCTGCCTGGGTGGTTACTCACTCCCTTCAAGATGTGGCCGGCACACACCCTCCCACTTGGGATGCTGCAGGGAAGACCTGCTTGCCTGCTGAAACTTGAAAGCAATCTGGCTCCCTGGGAATCAGGCAAGGCATGGTGCCAGGATATGTGAAGGCTGGTGGCTTGACTGGCTCTCCACCTGAAACACTGGTCTTGCTCTGAACTCCCTGTGTTCACTCAGGTTATATTATTTGTGTAGCATTCGCTGAGGACCTACTGTGTGTCAGATACTCTATGCTGGAGATACTCCAGAAGCTACACAGCCTTAGTCTTTGTCCTTGGGGAGCTACCAGTGTAGGGAAGATAATTATATTAAAACATCACAGTCTAGGTGTGGTGGCACAGGCCTTTAATCCCAGCACTTTGAGAGGCAGAGACAAGTGGATCTCTGTGTGTTCAAGACCAGTCTGGTCTACATAGCAAGTTCTAAGCAGCTAGGACTACAGGGAGACAAAAAAGACAGAAAAAAAAAAAAAATCACCGCCACTAGGTAAATGACATGATGTGGAGACTCAGGGAGATTTGAGGGTCTGCAGTCAGAGGATTTAGCACTATGGTAGGCAGGGAGGACACAGAAAAGCTGGCTAACTTTCTGAATCATAAGCAACTAAAACTAAATCCAAAGAAAGTTTTGAAAATCTGGGGGCTGCTCACAGAGTCACTGAGAAGGCATGGTGACCCCAGATCACATTGCAGGTCTAGTGCAGCCAGACAACACCTGTGTGTGTGTGTGCGTGTGTATGTGTGTGGCTGGGGGGAAGAAAAGGGGAGACGGGTGGGGTTGACGATGCTGTTGGGCAGTCAAGGGGGATGACAAATGTCCAGAGCAGCAGGTAAAATAGGGAAGAGGGGAGGTGGAGGAGAAGACTGGCTCAGAATGACCTAAGACATTCTGAGTCAGAGAAACCAAAAGGCCCAGCTTAAAGAGAGCACTGGCTTACTGAGGGAAGCAAGCACCAGGCACAGCCAGGCTCCCAGGGGATTCCTTGGCCAGAGACCGTTACTACCCATTGAAACCTCTGTTTCTTCTGCAGGAAGCCAGCCACGTGCCAGCAGGTAAGTAGGAACCATGTTTTAAGCTTTTTTTTTTTTTTTTTTTTTTTTTTTTTTTTTTTTTAATGTGCCCCTGGGGCTGTTCTGGAAGGGCATAGCTCTTAACTGTATGTCTTGGGCTTATAGAACTAGCTAACTCAGAGCGATGGTCTGGTGGGATAGGTGGAAAAGATGATTAGGAAAAGCCAATGGAGACAGAACAGCCAACCTTGCATGTCCGTGCCAACACAGGCCCACATGCATTGCTTCATTTCCTGCTCTTAATGAGCCTATTAGTTTTCAGATTAAAGACTGAGGCACCAAGGCTAATGACTTGGCTAAGAGCCTGTGGTTAGCACATTGTAGCGACAGGATGCAAGTGGAGATCTGGTTTTCTATAACGGCATGTTGACAGGGACATGAGGAAATGAGGGTCCGATGAAGACAGATGGTCACCTGACTGGGAGAAGAGCCTTTTCTGCGCTAAGTATATATCCAAGGGCCCTGAGCCACCACCTCTCTCACAGTTATCATTTGAGCATTAAGGTCAGTTAATGTTCCCTACTAAGAAATTTCAAGTTTTATTTGAGGGGGAAAAAAAAATCCTCGTTTTCCTAGAAGACCCTTGAGTGAAGAACTTTCAACTTAAACTTAATCTATTAACTTCTAGGCTAGCAAGAAGCATATGTCATACTTTAAAATTGACCATTATAATGTATCTGATTGTATAAATATATGTTCCTTATACAGCATTAGAACATATGAAATATAAAAAAAAAATACCTATAGCCTTACCACCCAGTTCTAGCTATGGTCATATTTTGAAGGGTGTGTGTGTATTGCATAGTGTGCATGTGTACATGTGTATGCACACAGGCATGTGTATGTAATTTCTACTCTTTTTTTCCTAGTCATATGCACTGGTATTGCCTTTTTTAAGAAATCACAATTATTAATGTCTAAAACTGTTACTATACAATTTAATTATTTTCCTCAAGGGAGAATTGTGCTATAATATTCAGGTTTGCAAGTCTACTGACTATCAGCAGAGTGTGACAGATGATATAAGCCACTTTGTGTAAATTGGTCAGCAGAAACTGTATACAGAGTGTGGGAAGGTCCCTGGCCCTTTAGAAAGCACTTGTTTTTCATTACTTACTAATATTCCTCGCAGGCAAACAGTGCCTAAGAGGAGTTTAGCGTGATTAGGGGAGATTTAGAACACAGCCTGTAATGTGCATGGCATTCACTGTTACAAACACACAAAACACGAGGGCAGTTTCTAGAGCTGAGCTCCAAGTGGAATCTTCATCTGATCTCATTTCACCTTCAGTGGCCCAGGGAACTCTCCCCAGAGTGGGTCAACCTGACAGTGCAGCGTACATGTATTCTCCGGGGTAGGATCGCAGTGTGTTCATAAGCAGCTCTCATCAGAACCCACATGGTCCCAGCTGGCACAAATCTAGGTCTGTTCAGCTGCTGCTGCTGTCAATCCTTGGCACACCGTGTGCCACTTACTTTTTGTCCTTTTTCCAAGCATCAAGACAAAGTCCAACCCATTCAGGAGGGCTGTGTGTTCCTGCTTTGTATTATAGCTCAGACATCTGTTTTGTGTTGGGAGTCAGTGGCCTTGATAGGTGCTTGTCTGATACAACTTGATCTGCTGATGCACTCAGCACTGCTTGCCTGTGAGTTTTCTGACCTTGAAATGACCCTGCAGAATGATCCTCACAGGCCTCAATGAGAACTTTATCCTTAGTCCAAGGAGACAAGGAAAATAAACTTGATTTCGGTTAACAAGTTACAGCCAAGAGAGAACCAAACCTGGTTCTTTCCATTCTGTCTTGGTCCCCATGTGCCCTTTTCTTACCAGATCATTCCTTGTCCTGAGAGGAGATGATGTCACAGTCAAGTGCAGCCAATGGGTGAGGTGAACTGGGGCGTCAAAGGTCAGCTGGCTCCTCCTTCAGTGGCATGAGCTCCACGTGATCCTCCTGGAAAACAAAAACTGTTTTCCTGGGGTTGTTTTCTGCTTTTGTTTTCTTTTGTTTTGCCTTGTTTTTAAGACATAGTCTCATAGCCCAGGCTGGCCTTGAATTCACGATCTTCCTGCCTCAGCCTCTGAGGCTGGAATGACATCAAATACTCAGGTTTTGGGGGCTTTGTTTTTCCATATTTCATTTACTTTTTTTTTTCTTAACTTCCCAGAGTAAACAGTTAAACAATACATGTCCGTGTTTTCGAAGTTAATCATTTCCAACACCACATTCTGTTCTACCTTTTAGTTCTGTGAAATTCATGACGTTCTTTTCATACTCCAAAAGCAAACAGAAACTCATAGGTAGCTTAGATGTTTAAAATATCCTTACCCTGGCAGCTACTTAACTTCTCAAGACCTGGGCTTTCTCTTCTGTAAGTAAGTAAGTCTTGGTACTGTACGGTACGTTAATCATGAGGTAACATGCATCAACTTGGCATGCTGTAAAGAAATTCGATTTAATTAGCTACATCTGTTTATTTTATTTTTACTTCTATAATAACTACAAATAGCAAGTGATATCTGACTTTGTATTCTCAGGGTGATACCAAGTTACCATTTAAAAGCCAGGCGTGGTGGCACACACCTTTAATCCCAGCACTAGGGAGGCTGGGCAGGCAGATCTCTGTGAGTTCAAGGCCAGCCTGGTCTACATAGTGACTCCAGGACAGCTGGGGCTACAGAGAGACCCTGTCTCAAAAAGACCAAAAAAAAAAAAAAAAATTTTTAGTTTAAACACTAATTCAACTTCAAAAATAATAATTAAATAACTTGGTTCCCTGCCTCAAAAAGGGGACTGGGGATCTAGCGCAGAGGTAGAATCCTGGGTTTCATTCCCGGGGTGGGGGGGGGAGACACAGAAAAAGAAAGCTGGACTTATCTATCTAGATTATTTCTAGATTATTCAGGACAACACTGTTCTCCTTATATAAGCTTTTTTTCTAGTTCCCTGTCTAGAACTTGTAATGCTAATTACTCTTGCTTTTACTTCTCCTTCACATCTCCAATTCATGATTCAAGGAGTTTCTTTTCCCCCTAGAGATAAAAGGGAGACAAGAGTTATGCAATTTGGGAGTCTTTTTGATAGACCCACTGAAGGGATACTCCAATTGCCTCACCCGGTGTCCCTGTTCAGCATGGAAGAAGCCAGAACGATCTGCATCCCAATTCCCTATTGGCAATTTGGGTAACCTCTTCAGAAGATGGCGTGATAAGAATAGGAGGTAGGAATTGGCTAGGCAGTTAGGGTAAAAAGACCCCAAAGAAATGTAGCCAGTTTCTTGGCTAAAAGTCAAAATGTCCTTGGGCCTCTTAGCAACATACTCTGTTCCAAAGGCAAAAAATGTCAAAAGTATTTGGGAGTGTGTATCTAGTCCTTAAAAGATTTTACGGTTACCTCTTCAGAAGGGAGAATGTTGTAGGGGAGGGAGTGGGCATGGATTTGATCAAAACACTTATATACATGTATGAAATTCTCAATAAAGTTTTTGTAAAAGTTGAGAGAGAGAGAGAGAGAGAGAGAGAGAGAGAGAGAGAGAGGGAGAGAGAGAAATCCTCTTAGTAAGAGATATGACACTGGAGACGTTAAGAATCAGCCAGATAACCAACTAACCCAAATTAACCAGTTAACCAACTAACAGGTCAGACATCAGGAATCTCAGACCAAGCAGAGATGTTTGTGGCCTAGATTTGTAGCAAGCACATGAGACAATCTTAATGACTTTTCACCACTACCAAGACCAAAACAGGGAAAGCGGCAGTTGGCCCCACTGCCCCTTGTCTTTTTGTGCCCCTATAGTGTCCTTGTCTTCTTCTGGCCAACTCTACTGGAGAATCTTGTCTCATTCAGCATTTTCCAATGGAAGAAGCATCTATGTGTGAGGTCTCTAGGCTCCCAAAACTTCCTTTCCCTTCTCTCATATTAAACCTCTTTTTGTAATAAGGATATCTCCACAGCGTTAGCCAGAAATCCTAGCTATCCGATCGATGTAAAGAGTAGCCATGAATATTCAAGGAACATCTACTTGTAGCAAAGCAAGGGGGTCTACAGGTGAAGGGAGGGCCCAAGAACTAATGCCTGCCCTCCAGGGCTGAAGATTCATGGGGGAGGCCAGGCACAGATGCAAATAACTGTAATTGCAGGGTAGAGTGTAGTGACTGCCACAAACAGCGACAGCCAACACACACAGGATGCCATAGGAGGAAGCAATAGTGACTTGGAGGTTGGAAGGCAGCAGAGCAGGTTCAGGATGAAGGCAGTACAACCCCAAGAAGCCTTTGTCCTATAAAAAGGTGGCATTTATCCCTGCAACCCCCACAACTGGTGGATTTTTTTGAGTCCCTTGCCCACTGTGGGCTAACAACTGCAAGGAATGAGGGTCAGCATTCTGCTTTTTGGAAGCGAGTCAGTTCCTTGTTTATGTTGTTCGAAAAGCCTCCTCCGCTAGATAAGACAGACTTAAGACACAGGTGGCTTCCTATACATCCCTCAGCCCACCTGGCAAGGTCCTGCTCATCCCCAATGCCACTTCCTCAGAGATCACCCCTGCCCATCCCTACCTACTGGTTCACTGTCCCCTTCTGTCCCCCACTGCTCATCAAATAGGGGAGAGGGGCTCTGGCACCATTTCAGACTGAGTTATTCAGGTGGTCACTATTTTTCAATTCTATTTTTTATTGTGTGCACATGTGTGTGTCTGTGTGGGTATGTGCAAGTGTTAGTGCAGGGGCTAGTGGAGTCCAGAAGAGGGTGTCAGATCCTCCAGAGCCAGAGTTACAGGCTGGCTGTGTTAGCCTCCTGATGTCTCGGCTGGGAGCCAATTCTAGTCCTCTGCAAGAGCAGTGCATGTTCTTAACCACTGAGCAGTCTCTCTAGCCTCAAGGTGTTCACTTTTGAAAAAGGGAATTTCTCAGGCTAGGTATGCAGTTTAGTGATAGAGCACTTGCCTAGAATATATAAGGCTGTGGATTTGCTCCTCAGCTTCTCCCACAGGAATAAAAATAGACAAGGAAAGCTTCAACTTGGCTTTCCTTATTTCTCCTTACACCCAGCATCTGATAAGTCACAGTAGTCAATAAAGAAATGTTTGTTCAATGAATTGATGAATAATAAGTCTAATTTAATCTCATCTTTTCCCCAGTCTCTTCTCTTTGGGTTGCTTTGTAAGGAGGGATCGGTGGTTTTAGAAAATGAATAGGATTAATTTCAGATTGATTTTATTAATGAAAATTCTCATGCTTAGGTTAAACATTGGGGAGTTAGTAAAGTTTATCAGGCTTTGGTTCACAAGAAAACACATGTATTAAGGCAATACAAGTCTTTTCAGCAAAATGTGTTACATAGGAGGTCACTCCTTCACAAATGTGTTTTTACCCAACTTTATTGAGATATAACTGGTTAAAACATGTATATTTACCATGTACAATGTGATGTGTTGATGCATGTGCACATTGTGAAATCAGTTTCACCCTCAATTTCATCACCTCCTACAGTCTTTGAAACGATTTAGGATCTACTCTCTTGGCCGTTCTCAAGAACACATCAGTATTGACTATGGTCACCACACTGTACAGCCGGTCTCCAGAACGTCTTCATCCTGACTCACCAGAGCTTTGTACCTTTTGCTCAACACCTTCCTGTTTCCACTGCTTACCCACACGCAACCCTTACTCTCAGTTTCTGTGAATTTGAGTTGTTTCAGAGTCCACATACAGTAAGACCTACACTATTTGTCTTTCTGTACCTGGCTTACTCAGGTAGCTAATATCCTCTAGGTTCATCCATTTTGTTATAAATGGCAGGATTTCTTTTCTTAAGGCTGAAGAGTAGTCTACTGTGCATGTATACATCATGGTGTTCTCATTATGTACCCATCTGCTGATGATCACCTAAGCTGGTTCCTGGTCTTGATTGCAACAGATGTGGCAATAAAGATATCTATTTAAAATTTAAACATTTAACGATTTCAGTATGTCCAGTAGTGGGATTGCCAGGTCATATGGTAGTTTTATTTTTTTGCCTGTGGAGCCTCCATATTGCTTTCCATGGCTGAACTAATTACATTCCTACCAATAGACAGTGTTCCTTTTTCTTCACAGTCTTACCAACATGCGTTACCTTTTATCTTTTTAGTAATAACTATTCTAACAAGTGTGGGGTGCAACCTCACTGTGGTTTTGACTTGCATTTCCTTGATGACTTGCGGTGGTGAACTTTTTATCCATGTACCTGTTGGCTATTGTATAAATTCTATTGAGGATCAATCCAGTCAGGTCCTTTGACAATTTTTAATTAATTTAACTAATTAATTTATGCTTTTTTGAGACAAGGTCTTCTTGAAGCCACAACCGGTCTAGAATTTACTATGTAGACAAGGCTGGCCTTGATCTCACAGAGATCATCCTGCCTCTGCCTCCCAAGTGCTGGGATTAAAAGTGTGCACCACCATGCCCAGCTCTTTGGTCATTTTTAATTGCATTACTTGTTCTCTTGCTATTGGTTTGTTTGAATTCATTAAGTAATTTTTTTTTTGTCTTTTTGAGAGAGGGTCTCCCTGTAGCCCCAGCTGGCCTAGAACTTACTATATAGACCAAGTTGGTCTTGAACTCACAGAGATCCACCCATCTCTGCTTCCCGAGTGCTGGGATTAAAGGTGTGTGCCACCACGCTCAGCTTTCATTAAGCAATTTTACATTAACCCCTTGTCAGGTATATGGTTTGCAAATATGTTTTGTAGGCTGTCTCCTGACTCTGTTGAGTATTTCCTTTGCTGTACAGAAGCTTTTTAATTTGTTATCGTCCTTTAATCTATTTTTGTTTATGTTTCCCATGCTCTGGGGATCATATCCACAATATTATTGCCCAGACCATTGCTAAGACGCTTTTCCTCATGTGTTTCCTTCTAGTAGTTTTGTAGTTTTAGGTTTTACATATAAGATATAAATCCATTTTTAGTTGATCTTTGTACATTGCATGAGCCAACATATTTATTAAGATGACTTTTGTGCGTATGTAAGAAAATGAGAGTAAACAGCCAAGCAAGGCAGATGGGGGGGGCTCTGCCTCAATGAAGCAAAGTTATGGGGGAAACAATCAAATAGCATGAGACCTGCTCTAAATCTGAAGGAGAAGCAGAAATATCCCATCTTTCTTAGGCAGGTTGGGTTGGTGACAGGGCTGGTAAAAAAGGACAGGGCAACAGGAAGGCAAATTCAAAGGCCAAGAGATGAGCACAAAATTGGCGTATTTGAGAATTAGAAGGTCATTCTTGTTGGACATCACCAACGGGTGAGATGTTGGGGAACTCTTGGGCCATCCGTTTTCTCCCGATACAAAGACCAGGACAGCTTGGAGGCAAAATGGGTCCCCAGGAAATGGCTAGAACATAGGCCTGGCTCATCATCTGAGCATGGGGCTAGAACACATTTGCAAAGTAAATGAA